TTATTATTTGTACATTTGCCCAAAAGCAGTCAAAATTACTTCCTTGGGCAATCTAGTGTTAATAATTGCAGAGATGAAATACTTCGTTTTGCTATTTCATTGAAAATTGTAGATTAAGAATTATTGAAGTAGAAGTAAGAAGCATGACCGGCGAAACCTATTGGAATTTTCCTAAAAATATTTGTAAAATCTTCGGAACGATCGAAATATTTATCAGCCTTATCTACGTCCCTCGAAATCAAATGGATTCCAACTGTTTATCTCGCGAGATTCGCGGAGATCCGCGGACAAAACGGATAAACGTTTATCTGCTAGGATTAAATACGTTTAATTATGCGTAATTACGCGTAATTAATCCGGAATTAATCCGGGACAGCAACGGGGAACACGAATTCGGTGGACTACGTAAATTTAACCAACCGGAAGTTAGAATTTTAAGTAGAAATTTAAAGTTCATTACCCGGCTATTCCAAATGTGATTTATTAATTTTTTTAAACGACTGCCGAAGAATGTCTGAATGAGTAGACTGTAGAAAGTATGCGATTTTTAAATGATCAGATCTAAACAGATCTCTGTTACTCTTTGATTAAGTAAAATCAGTGACCACCGGTTCACTTTTTATGTCATTCCTTATTCACTTTACATCAAATTTCTTATCAACCCTGTATGAAAATCAATTATTTATTTTACATTACATTTCTTTATGAATCAAATATCACCCATTTTGATTTCGTGTTTTTGCATACCGCACAGTTACGTGTCCCTTGTGGATACATGAAAATCCGCGGTCCAACGATGAGAAACGAGCGAAGTCCCCTCCGTTCGGACAGCCTCGAGTAAAAATTGATACGTCTACTCGTCTACTGCGTAAGCTTACGACAACATCAGCTCATATCGATGTGCATGGATCATTGCACATACAAGAGGCTTCCGGCTTCCATACGCGAACGTCCTCGAGTGTTTAGTCGCGGTTGTTCCGCGATAGATCGGGGGAGAAATATTTGCGACGAACTTTTCAAGTCCGGCTGCTGTTTATGCATTAAGACGAACTTTTCGAATGATTCTCGCGCAACCGTTGTTTATACATACGCGTATCTTCATCCTCCTTGCGCCGTATATCCGGTTTGCGGTTCGATAGGGGCGGACAGCTACGTACTACATAGGGGTGAAATCGGGTGGCGCGGCTCGCGTGGAGGGTTGCGGGTCGAAAGAGGCAGGGCTTAGCGATGGTAAGCTCCCTGGATTTATGCGACCGCGGCGGTTGTCTGGCTCCGCCATTACACACGCCATCACACCGAAACTCTCTCTCTCTCTCTCTCTCCTTCTCTTTATGCACTGTGCTATACTACCGTTGTGAATTTTAACGTATCCCCGCGATTCCCGATGCGTATACGCATACAATATGTACAAATGTACAGTATTCGAAAGAGGTATCTGTGCATTTTCAGTCCGTTTCTAATCTGTCGTTAAAACATTTTTACCGACGTCGTATCGTACTTGAAACGTTCTGGGATATCCTGTACGTCAGCGTAAGTACATGTTTAGGGTCTCCCAGAAAAGAGTTAGATTTTGGAGGTGATTCCTAACAACAATTTCCTTTGGTAAATGCAAAGTGAGCCATGGTTTTTGAATTATTAACGAAAAACGCTAAAAACTTTAGGTCATAAGACCCAGCAATGAGGGCATGCACAGCAGTTTGTTTTCGGTTTACAATTATGAGTTCTGTAGAAATCACGATCGGCCAACAGACTGCGTTCAGAGATTCCCCGAATCGCAAGATTCTTAACCCCTTGCACTATTCGGAACCTCGGGAAAAGTCAGGCCAAACGCGGCTGCCTCGATTGTCGCGGTGAAAGGCGAACGGTGGAGCGCGCGTGCCGAAACTTGAGAACTATCAATTTCAAAACTTTTAAAAAATACTTTAATTATTACATAAGATGAAAACAATCCCATTCGAGATGTTCATACTTGGTCCAAAACTAAGACCACGAGTCAGACTCGTGATATTCATGTTCGGCCTGAAATGTCGAGTACGAGTCAGGCTCGTGATATTCATGTTTTGTCTGGAACTGAACAACTAGTCCGACTCGTGACATCCATGTTTGGCCTAAAATTTTCATCACGAGTCAGACTCGTCAAAATAGTGCAAGGGGTTAAACGGCTTACCCCGGGGACGAACGCACTTGCCTAAAACCAACATGGATTCATGGTCTATCGACATACAATATCGCAAAAGATCCGACAGCGGATCCTACGGTGTTTAACTCATAAATGAAGAGTGTGTCTCTTCATCGTTCGACGTTGCGTTTCAAATTATGACCTATTAGGAGTATCATTTAATGTAACGCATTTGTTACTCACCCTCACTCTGGGTTCAGGTAGTTTGATACAGACGCCGATCTCTTCTCTGAGGGTCATGTCCGGATACCTGTTCTTGGTAAAGGAGGCTTCTAAATAGTGTAGCTGGTGCGTCGTGAAATGAGTCCTCTGCCTTCGTGGCCTTTTCTTCTTCTCCCCGTCTTTGTCCTCGTTGGCAGCGTTTACCGCCGACAGAGAACCGTCGGAAGTCACCACGTTCATCTCGTGTTTAACATCGGGGGAGCCCACGTCTGTAATTAACAAAGATATCTCGTCACGTTTAACGATCGTTACACCGTCTAGAGTGGTGCATGCTGATATACAGGTGTCTACGCTTCCAATCGGTATCGCTATACTCTTTACTTTTTACTATAGTCTTTACTATTTCTCGAACCGTACGTTGTATAAAAAATTGTCTGTACCATACAGGCGAAACGAAATTGTATCGTATTTTGGTCTCTGTTTTCCCTGTTTGGTACTCGTCGCGAATGAAAGCGATCGAGTCCGTGAGTCTGTTCGGTCTAACTCCGCGGGTGATAGCGTAAACGACAGGTGTGAGAGAGAGAGAGAGAGAGAGAGAGAGAGAGAAAGAGAGAGAGAAAGCGCGTCTCACCCCTAGTTTCTTATTTCCCCTAAAAAATATCGACGGCTCGATGATCGATTACCCACTGTTCACACATTTTCCCTTTTCAAAGCATGTACCGCTATCGTTCACCTCTGATGTCGCCGCTAACTATGTGTATCTCTCGACTCGAGAGGACCCTAAACTATTTACAGAGCGACGCGTACATGTGTGCCCATAAACTTGCCCGTTTATTTAAGTTTTCACCGAAAAACATCTTGTAACACGAAGATATCGTCACTTATCAGCCGTGTATCGGCTCGTTCTACGCTCTGCCCAATCTGTTACAAAGATTTCGACTGCGTGTCGGACACGAAACGTGCGTGTCAGATCCATCAAAAATTTTCCGATAGGGGAACTTCTACACCTTCGTCGCGTCGTATTTAGTCAGAAATTAACTAGACGGACAGTGAACGAAGTACCATTCAAAGGGTTGCTCCAAAGAAACGACGTTCTCCAAGTATACGAGAAGTTCTTCCATGCTCTTTAAATGTCCATTGATCATTGGCCAAAATGTTGTTTTCTAAAAATTCCTGAAAATCGTCGTTTTCTCGGTTTAGCTTAAAAAAAAAAACATCGACGCTGCTCTCTAACTTTCAGTGCCTACTTAAGATTGGCACAGGGGTTTCCGATGTATTTTTAATTGGAATCGAGATATGGACGTTCGACAAGGGGGTCGTGGGTCGAATTGAGGCACAAGATAGCGTACCTTTTCTTAAATTGGATCTGGGAGCGGTGTTGGTCCGGGGTCTGGCCACCGGGAACCCGGCGCCGCCGCCACCACCGGAAGGGGTGCCGACGGGGGTGGTCGTAGGGGTGCTCGGGGTCACGGGCTGGCCGGTCAGGTCGAGGCGGGCCAAACCGCCGGTGACGTCCTCGCGGAAGTCGCCCTCCGCCCATACTGGAAATACACCAACAACAACCCTCTTGCAACCTCGTTTAAAACTCAACTAATTCATAACAGGGCAGGGTATTCTCATCTACGGGACTTCGGACCCTAAGTGTTACTCATGCGAAAGCATTCTCTCTCGGCTCGATTCTTCATGAGATATAATATTCACTGCTCGTTGCCATTATACAGGGTGTCCCAGAAAAAAATTGTTACAGCCGACGAGAGGTGATTCTGTAAGTGTTTCTGAACAACAGTTTCCTTTGCCAAAATGCAAAATGGTTTTTGAATTATTAACAAAAAACACTGACCAACAAGAGCGCGTGTAAGGCCCGCGCTTAGCCACTGGAGTGGACTCTGACTGTAACGCTCGGCCGTTGGTCAGCGCAGGCCTCTCGCGCGCTCTCATTGGTCACTGTTTTTCGTTAATAATTCAAAAACCATGGCTCACTTTTCTACCAAAGTAAATTGTAGTTCAAAATCACCCTTTTCCGGCTTTAACATTTTTTCCGGGACACCGTGTATTACACCGAATTATAACTAACCTTGCAAGGAAATGGTACGTGCTGATCTACCGAAAACCTACTTGTCATCCTAATTCCGTTTAGTCACGAATTTTAGTGTTACGAAATTTATTGTAAAACAAGTGGATCGTATTAAATAACTTTTCACCAAGATGAAAGGCATTCATCGGGAGCTGAAGAATACAAACGTTCCTCGCGGTCGATTATAACAGTTATAATAAATTCTAATGACACACCGTAACTTTCTGTGTACCACGCAATCTAATGCTGTGCACGTAAGTATAGTGTACTTGTCTTAGATTTATTATCATTCATCCTTGTCGGTACTCGCGACTGGGATCTCGCGAGAAGCGAGAGACAGAAAACAAACAAAAAAACGAAGAAGAGAAAGAGGAGGAGGAGGATTAGTGAAGACAGTAAAGGGAGTCGAGAATAACGCTCCGCCAACTGTGATATGTCAACGGTTATAGGCTGTAGCATATAGTTGGCAGTCAGCGAACCGAGGACGTAGTTAATCGTCCTATCGTTTAGCCACGGTTCGTTTAGGTCCTCGGCTCAGTTTATATTTGGTTTGGCCCACGGGGGTGGCGAGATAATACGAAAAAAACGTAAGAAGGTGCGGTTCGCAATTAGTCGCCTTGTAACTCGTCCCGATTTATTACCACACGTTTAGTAAGGAACGTGCCACTCATCGCTGGAACGCGGAATTTTATGCACCGAGTGTACAACGCGAGTCTCGACTCCATTCTTTCATCCCCTTAAATATTTTGGACAAGAACATGAGTATAATTGTTCTTCTTGAAACCGAATCATGACCATTTAAATGTATCGATTACCATTTTCTATGTTAAAATGAATAAGAATAAGCCTGACCGATGTTACAAGTGTCCTAACCTCTAATCTTTGGAACACGTGTAAAGATATTATTGGTTGCGTTAGCAGTTCGTGGAAGAGTACAATAACGAACAAGACCCCGAACCTAATCTATATAACGTACAAAGTTTGTTTGGTAAGGCCGAGTTCTGAGGGAAACCGAAAAGGGATTCTTATCGGTGGAGAACCGTTGGCAAATAACGCTTGAGAGACGGGCAACACGGATCCCGTTCCATACATTAGAGCATTCGCGATATGCTCACGGGGACTGTATTTTTCTGACGAAAATAAACTCCCAATGGTTCTACCGATTAATCATATAATTTATATATTAAAATGTTTGCACTCGCTTGAGCGTCACAGGCTTATCCAGGGTTCACAATTCTGTCACGATGGCTCTGCCTCGATTGGGCAATCCAATTACTGAGATAAAACGTGTGGGAAACCATATCGAAATACTTAATAAGACCAGAAAAAGAAGTAAACAGAGAATATTCGGAAGTAGCGAATGTGAAAGAACTGGAGAAGGGGAGTCGAGTCTAAGTAACTGGGATAACTACGAAATTTATTAGTTTTCCCGGTGGCACGTAGGCTTATTTTATGGGGGGAGAATAAGAAGAAGGAGAAGAAGAAGGCACCGAGCATCGAGCGCACGTCGACGAGGAATATTTCAGAGACAGAGAGAACTGTTTCGTCTCTCGAGTTTTTATACGCCGACCAGGCCTCGATGCATGCATGTATTAATGGAATCGTTAATCCTGAAGGATTTACCTCAGCGCGGCTACATGCGTACCGTTCGAGAAAAAGGAGGATTAGAACGTGCATACACACGTATATCTATAGGGTGGGCCACGTAGAAAATATGTGTACATACAGGGTCAGCTAATCGTTTAAAATTATGCACTATCGATGATTCTACCGTGAAGCCCGACAAGAGTTTAAGAATGTAAAGTTATATGTATACTTAAACGATGCTAGCATGTTGAATTTGTTATTATACATTCCTATTACTATTAAAAAGCTAAAATTATAGTGATTTCAAATTTTTCATAGGTAATAGTATCATCTACAACTTTTATTCGAACCATTTGTCGAAATTCTGCAAAAAAAAAATTTTCCATTTTTCTGAGATTTTTCTAAGGAGTACCCCTTCAAATTCTTCGAAATTTTCGTTTTTTGCCAATAACTCTCAAACCGTTGGAGATACGGGAAAATTGCATCAGACCTTTCTTGTAGAGGACGACGAGATCTATAATTTCCATGTAAAAACTTTTCGCTAACATCAATAGTTTACGAGTAATTTGCGAAAAACTGTTTTTTAGTTTTTCGTCAATAACTCGCTAAATATTGATGCTAGCGAAAAGTTCTTATACAGAAATTGTAGATCTCGTCGTCCTCTACAAGAATGGTCCNTTGTGATTGACTTTGAGTATTTTGTATTCAGTATGACCAATACATCCTTAACTCGCCAAAATATAATATTCATTCAATGAATCGAATCGTCAAGTGTTTCGTTTCTTCTCGCGAAGGAAAGCACATGTGTACAATTTTCAGTGACGGTGCGAACATAGTAAGTATAATAGAACGAGCAGCATAAATAAAATCGCATACCGTGGGTGGTCAGTGGAGCATAGAGCATTATTATACTTATGTATTATATCATGCACGTCATAACGTAAGTCAAGTATGAAGAGGGTTACTCGTATACATAGGGTGGAAACGTGGTTGTACACTTATCGCTTCTACAAGTAACGAAGCAGCTGCGAACTCCCATGAAAATCTCGCGGAATTAGTCATATATCGAATTCTCCTACCGTTCGGTCCTCGCAATACGACAAAAGACGTTCTTAATTAGTTTCATCAGACGTACGGACGAAAAATCGGAAATGTCAATATTTTTTATCGTTCTACTCACGCCGTTCTCATAAAAACTGGGACGCGCATAGATCAGAGGGCAGGTTTCCATGTCTGTGAGTACGTGTTTCGCGAACTGTTCACACGGTCTCCCCGAGGAGAACGAGAAGAACTAACCGCACGTATTTCCGTCTCCTTGCCTCCATTTCCTTCGGAAAACCAAAATGTGTCACGTACGCGTTCTGCATGTATAGATGCATCTAACCATGAGTTCCGAGGTGCCGTTAGTCAAACGAAAAACGAGACGAACCCCCGCGCGGGGGTAATTACAACGCGTGTATATTTTTAAATGGCCACCCTTCGAACATAGAAACGATGTATGATTTATGCGAGCTAAAGAAGAAGCGTAGATTATTTTTTTCGACAATCGCATAAAAAGCAGACAGTGAGAGTCCGGGAAGGACAGAGCGTACAAAGTTACTTAAAGGGAGACAGTATAAAAAAGAAAAAGAAAGGATGAGAGAGAGAGAGAGTGGGGGGAAGTGGCGTGAACACCTGTGAGACCTAAGCTGTTAGGTTTTAAACGGGCCTAACGCCTAATCTCTTCTTCTTCTGGTGGCTAATCCTTGGCTTCCTTAGGAAGTCGTTTGTTACCCGGAGACGACTAACTGCTACGGCTACCCACTATAGGGAGACAGATTTCTTATTTAGTATAAGTATAAAAATACAACCGTGACAGATTCAGAAATAAAATCAATGTATTTAGCATTCTTTGCTGGTTCTAGTTTCTCAGTATAATCTTCAGAGGGAGCAGGTAAAAATAAAACGTGATTATCAGACGATTTCTACAACAATTAATTAATTATCGAAAACGAGTTGAATAATTTGTTGAAGAAGCCTTGAGAACGTTGAGAAACTGTTAATCGTTACGAGGAGGAACAGTGTACATAAGTATAGATAGAAGTAGGAGTCAGCTATTAAACGAGATAAAGAGATAAGAATGTTTCTTTTTTTTCAGAGATTCTAGATATTGGAATAGCATTACTCGTACGCTGGTGGCAGGTGTTGCGTAGGAGAGTTCAGTTTCGTCTTGACGTTAGGCCGAAGGAGCAAAACCGGAAACCCAAAACTACATATTGAAATACGATACAGCCACTGGCTACTGTAATACATCTTTCCAGAGTAGGTTAACACCAGTTCGAACTTCCTTTACGAGAAATCCTTTAAGAGAGTCCTTACTGAGAAGCAAAAAAGGATCGAGTATCACCTCGAGAACAAGTCTTATGTGGATTTCAAATAAATATGAGAGCAACGATAAACGACCATAACCTAATTTAACATATTCTCGTTATCACGGAAATGTATTTTAGTTGTTTTCTAAATTTTGTTATCTAGATATTCTGGGATAGTAGGAGGAAAATCAGATCGTTTGTATGTTGATCCCCGGGGATTAGGGGATCACCTCGGTGATCGAGAGGATCGAGAGGATTTGGGAAGATCGAAGGAATCGAGAAAATTCAGGAAGTAAGAGAGAAAAGCCAAATTTTTAATAGGGTGGATCACAGAACGAATTAACTCTGTCCCATTTTCTTCCGGTTAGATGAAAAAAAGTATCTCTCGATCTGCCGATTAAACCAATGGAAACGATGAAGTACTGCCACGATGGATCATTTCGAATTATTATAAGACTCGCGATCTTCGTTTCGATCTCCATTTGCCTCGCCCTATATTTTCTTAAAAAAAGAAATATGGTCACCGTAAACATGAGAGTTAACGAAGAATAGGATCTGTCTAAATGTGAATGAGTTAGCTGTCCAAAGGGGTTTTATCTATAGGCCTTCCCGTCTCCGTTCCCTAACGTCTCTGGGGATAGTTATCCGGCGGGCAACCGAGCAATTTGTCAACACCATTAGTTATTTAGCTCGGCCCTAGCTAAGAAGGGCCAAAGGGTGGATTGACTTTCGCGCATCTGCCGCATTTCTGCCAAAGGGATAGACATCGTCACACTTCCGATACCGGCGTTGTCCCATAATAAAAGGGTAGTTAGTCACCGCAGGGGGTAGCTCCCTCATTATACCCACCGTATGCCACCTTGTTTACCAAACGTTTCCCAAATCTTTTCAAGAACGGAGACAAATCATTGACTTCGCAATATAATAATTGATGCACTGCCCGAGTTTCAATTTTCATTCAGCCACACCTTCATTCTCTGGTCTATCGTAAATACACTCTCGATAAATATGAAATTTTCAAACTGTACCCCTGATCTGTACATACGTACAGACTATGCACACCTGTTTTTTGTGATTAATTAACTCGAACGGGTTAACTGGATTTAAGTCGAGGTGTTAGAGCGTTGGGTGCTTATCCCGGATAAGTCTGACTTATCCAGGCTAATGCCGATCTTATTCCAACTAGATCTCGTTTATAGCATCCCGATTATACATACACACAGAGTTCACTTTCGTTTCTGATTTAATCTTCGACCCGTGTCGTCGAACGTTTGTAGCAATTCATTAAACCAGAATACCTTGATGGAAAAAATGTGGAAATTTCGCGTATACGATGACTATTTTTTTTAAGAATGTAAAGAAGGGGTTGAAAAATTGTTTCCTCATTAAGAGAATTTCGCATTGAACGTCCTTTTAAACAGAGGATGTAACGACGGTTATGTACCAGACGTATGCACAAGAAGTTTGCCAGGGCGTTGATAAAAAGTCAACATAATTCGTTTTATGATTGATAGTCAAATGGATCGTAAAAATTGAAAAGTAACGTTTCGTAGATAGGTATCAAGATAATGTTGCGAACGACACGAATAATGGCGCCTTATCAGTAGAGTTATTCGCCTAAACGTAGTAATTTTATCTTTATTAGATGGCTGGCGCTCTTGACGAAAAATCAACAGGCAATATTTCTTTCCTTATCACTCAGAAACGTTTCTCGCCAACATCGCGATAAACGTTAAATAATTACGATTTGCGCGTTACGCCTGGTTTGTTAATTTCATTGGTTATCAATCGCGTTGGAATTGTACCGCCTCATAAAAATGCGACCACTCATTTCCGTAATATCCATCTACTTTATTATACGTTTTGTGACGAATTTTAGGTTGTCATACTCGTGGCGACGGAGGTGAAAAGCTAATTTCTAGGGCGCGAGCCATCTCGGCTAGGTAGACGGCATAATTTTAGATGTTCAACGTCTCGTTGGTCGCCAAGGAACGGCGAAAGGGTCGAGGGGGTTGAAGGAGCTCTGAATCTTAACCGACTCACCACGTTTAAGCTTCTCCAACGGCTCGTGCAATTGCATACTGCCGGTTACTCCGACCCCGACTCCGGTCTCGTGATGACCTCCGGTCGCGTGGTGCCCTCCGCTACTGCCGCTGTTCAAACCGAGGTGGCCGCTCGAAGGATGCAAATGATGGATCCCGCTGTGCAAATGATGCTCGCCGTGGATACCCATGGCGTTGTGGTGGATCAGTCCACTGGTCCCGTTGTTCCCGGGCATCAGATCTTGCAGGCAAAGGTCGCTGGCGCCCGTGGCGAGTTCCAGGCCGTTGCCAGTGCCGTCGCCGTTGTTCGCGCGGTCCATCGTTTGCAGGAACACGGATGGCATAGTTCTCCGATTCCAACGGCCACAGTGTTCGGATATCGAGTTCAACAGGCTTGCAACTTATCTCGAAACCGGTGTCTCAAACGATTCTTCCCTCGGGTGTCTCGACGACGGGTCAACGTGCACCGTTTAACAGTGTGCGAAAGAACGGTTTCACCAGCATCGCAAACGATCTTCGAGCTAGTATTCAAAAAACGTTTTCGATCGATTTATTTAAAAACATTCCCGCTTTATGTTATACTCTCGGCTGAGCCTTCGCTCGCAACCTCAACAGCGACGGCCGTCGGATACCAGCGACTCCGTCGAATCACGATTCCTCGCGCAGAAACGAAGATTTCGTACGATTATATCGATTCATCCTAACGACATTTCATTTATTTCCCTTGAAAGTAGTTGGCGTTTGATCGATCTCGTCAATTCGTCACGCATCACGTTAAGCTGTTCCGTTTCGAAGTAACTTCCGTCGTCATCCGATGATCCCTCTTCTCTTCTTTCACGAAGCGAAGATCTCGACTCGATCAGCGACGCTCAAATAAATCACGACAGGACACAACGCAAGTTTTTCCTTCTTTACGAATTGACACTTGTAAAAAAGATGTAAGGAAAATCTCGTAGGAACTTCACTTGTTTCCAACGAATGAAAGAAAAGACGCACCTGGGCACTGGCAGACGTACTTAACTGTGACACCACTGTTGCTCGATTTCAGAGGAATCACTCTAAATCTCTGTTTGAATAATCTCTGTTACCTTCACCGTACGTGTATACCGGGTACAGTCGATGCTCTCACTACGATCTCTCACCATAGTCGGTCGAACCTCTTCGCCACAGCCTCTGGCGGACTCGGAACTCGTCCGAACTCACTCGACTCGCGGTAACCGTCGCTCGCGACCGGTCGAATCACTGAAACTCTTTGGAGATCGGCGCGGATCGTTCATCCTCCGTTTATGCAGATCTGCCCGCGCGCGGCAGCTTTCCCGATCATCCCGCGTGCACTTAAACTGAAAACTCTCGGAAGACGGGTTTTTCGCCCCCGACGCGAAGGGTTAAGGTCAAGGATTCTTAACCGGAAGTCTGCGCTGCGAATTCGCGCGAACCGGAAGCCGGCGGGAAGGATTAGCCGTAGGCCGGGCAAGGGCTTAAGCTAACGTAAGTCGGCGGTAATCTCTCGGAAAGCTCGGGCCCGTACGGAGAGAGGCCGCGATGGGTGACTGGGTGAGACCCTCGCCGTGGCACCCATCGCTCTCCCCAACCCCCACTCCGGGCAGCGATACTGATAATACTATAGGTACCGGCGATCCCCCACCACTGTGCCCGTTGGTACGCTTGATAACGCTATAGGCACCCTGTCCTCCACCACCCATTCGTTCCCCACGCGGAGCCGCGAGAGGTGGACCACTCCGGAGCAACCGGTCCCTACTCTCTCTTATGTACGCGTCATCCAGTGTACATGGTCCGTTCTATGTGTACCACCGTCCACACTTTGAACCCGTAACCCCGCGTTTCCCTCCGCGATGCTCTCCAGTCTTCACGAAGCTGCGCGGCCGTCCCCACTTTCTTTCGGACAGGTAAGCCTTCGGCTCCCCGTGTAAAAGCTCTCCGGCACGACGACGACGACGACTCGCGTGTCGCAGTATCCAAACGCGACGCGTGCATCGCGGAATAAAAATTTTCAACCACGAAACCGTCCATCCTTCTCGAAACTCGAGAGATCGCTGTCCGACTCGTACAAGATCGATCGTATCTGAACTTCGGTTTTCGTAACGAGCACCGACGATCTCGTAGGAGGTACGCGACCATCGATGTGTGAAACGAGTCTAAGGAACAACGAGCGTACTGTACGCGACGTTCCCCTCGTTCTGACCGCTATCCCACTCTGGAAGACATCCCGCAGGTACTCGTAAAGAGGGGAGGGACACTGGACTCTGTGCTGTCGTCGTAGACGTGGCAACACGGGACCTCCGAACGAGATCACCCGTTGTCCGGCATCGAAATCAGGATTCGATCCTAGACTCTCAAGAATCATGAACTCGAATCAGGAGATGCGCACTGACGAGCTCAACTTCGACTCCAGTACGGCATTTTTTATGGACCTCGCGTCCCTCTTGAGATACGATCCTGACGCGCATACCGTCGTATCATTTTATACGCCGACACCGTGATTTTCAGCTGTCTCGCGTTGTAAACCAACTTCCCCTCGCTGTACACTCTCGCACATACGACAGGCGGCACGATACACCTAAAGTATCTGCGTGTTACTATCCCCGCTCTGTCCCATGGTAGGTGCGGGTGGTCCCCACTCCGTCCCAGTGTACGTATACCCACGCTCGATCCCCCGTAGTATACGTACACAGACATGGGGTGGTCCCCTGCTCCCACACACCGAACGACGTGTACGTGTGTACACGCGTACCGATCGGAGCAGTGGGTGGCGAGTTCGCCTTACACAGAGTTCTATACATGGGAGGATCCTCCGGTTTTCAACCCTCCCCTAGGCTTCCCCTCACCTGGCTTTCTACCTTATGTACGATATACGTGCGCGTTCCCTCTCGAAGACCAGAGGGAGCGTTCTCTCTTCAGCTTTCGCGGCTACGTGGTACCTCTCCACCCCCACTGTTACTTACCGTAGTAGACGGGAAAACAGCCTCTCTTCGGGGCGTGGAGCTGAATCCAGCCCGGCCCATGTCATCAGCTTACATGTACGTATTTATCCATGTATGTACCCAGCCTTCCGTGTGTTATGTACTTACTTACTCTTCTTCGGATTGTCTACGCTCTTTTCTCTGTTTTCCGCGAGACCTCGTCTAGCTCGGTAGTTGAAACCCGAGTTTATACACATACTTCGTTCCCTTCTCGTTTCTTGACGTTTGTCACTCGCCGTGTTTAAAACACCGTCCATACGAAATTCCCGAAAAAATAGGACCCGCTCGCATCGGCGAAATGTCTTATATCTACGAGATCGTCGATTTTATATTTAAACAGCATCCGTATGAAATCTCGTGCAAAAACGAATGCTGAAAGAAAACAGCAGGTCGTATAGGCAGATAATATACCCAGTAAGCAAGAAATGTTTAATCAACATGCTTAAAATATTGACTTCATGTAAATTTTGTAAATGTTGCGATATAATGTTTCATACATGTTTCTGAAATATTATGTAATAACGTTATTTTGCAAATATTTTTCAA